GATAGAAGTCTTCAGTTTCTTCATCACTAACATTAGTGGTTATTGCATAAATTTGAGTAATAGCTGAATTTCCTTGAAGATGGATGGATATATTCCTATTACAAACAGCATTGTACTTCATGATGAATTTCAAAATGAATGCCACACCATTCCTCTTGAGTGTGTTGTTCTGGTGATAGTAAAGATATGGTTTCCTAATTCAAAATGGCTAGTACCAGTCCATTTCAGATCACTAATGCCTGGGATATAGATCTTCATGTGTTTCATTTCATTTGGATTCTTTTCAATTATCCTAAATTCATACTTCACACATTCTAAGTTTAGTTTGTAGAAGATTTTTGCAGCTGTGTCCCTTGACCTGGAATCATGCCCCCTCAACAAAGGAAGACCCTGAAGGCTTCAATCCCATATGCTTCACTGGAGTCACATCACCATGGTGGACTTACCTCCTCTTCAGTCACATTTCGAGTGCCCTTGGACCTGAGGGGCCCATCCTCTGGCAGTGTCTCAGAAAAGGTTCTGCTTCCTTTGTTTATGATTTCAGTATTTGACAATGCTTCGAAGCTATGCATAAAGTTTTCAGCAGCTTCTTCCTTCCTTTGAAGTGGGGAGCCTAATCTTTCTTCGTTGTCTGTTCTTAGTCTGAAGAAGGACTCTGGCCTTTAAAAACACAACAACATTCTCTCACTTTTGTAGACACAACCGTGTTCTCATACTGTTCCCTTTTCACTCTTTGTCCAAATGGACAAGGATCTAGTGTAGGGATCAGCATGTTATGACCCATGGCTACAGTCTGACCCACAAGTGGCTTTTATAGTAACAATTAAAGGTTGAATTAGAGTAGAGTGATTTTTTTTCTTGTGATCTCGTTTAGTTTCCTTTTTGAACAACATCAGTGTTATGTAGAGCTCAGTGATTTAAGTAAAAAAAAAAAGGTATGTCTAAATCACCTGTGTTTGTAAGATTTTCATTTCATCGCTACCACCTTAGTCTTCCCACACCAATTTTCCTGTTCTAAATTATATTGGAGGAAATAATTATTGTTATCAAATTCATTGATCAATTGTGATGCATCAGGTGGTTCTCTGGGAATTGAGGTAGACCCTCAAGGTGATAATTGACACAGTGCCTGTAACAGTAGATTCACACATGACAATTAGGAGACTAGTCAGGACAAGATAGTATTTCATCAGGTCACTAAGAATTGCAGTCAGCTGAACGGCACCCAACAACCAGGTATTGGAGTACAGGAAAGAACAAATCATGAAGCTTACATTGTAGTTTAAGGAGAAAACTGTTAAGAAAATTTAAAGGGGGAAATGACTAGAACTTAAGATACTATGTTCTATAGATAAATACAAAAAAATAAGGGATAATGATTAATAGAGGAACAAGTTGCAATTTAACAGCAGAATCAAGAAATATCTAATTGAAAAGGTTGGAGTTTGGGTACGAGTTATATGGATTTCTGGGTTCAAGAATTTACCTGACAAAGGAAACAGCAAGAACCAATGCCCTGAAATGGAAATGCCAATGGCCTGGCTCATTCATTGTTTAGAAACAGTATAGAGTTCATGCTAAGACCACAAAACTTCTGTCAATATCAGATACAGTAGAACCCTGGACCTCGATGCTAATCTGTTCTATGAATGTCGAGATGCGATGCAGTCGAGTTCCAAATGAACTTTTCCCATAAGAAATAACTGAAATTGGATCAGTCCATTCTTGACCACCAAGTTTTTACCCTGACCTTGCCTTCTTATTCAAAACATTACACAGATATTTCAAAGTAAATAAGTTCAGAGTTAAATAATATAATTTAAATAAGAAACTCAACATTAAAATTGCTTTTAACAACTACAGTATGGCCCATACCTTGAGACTGATGAGGATCTGGATCTGTGGACACGGATGTGAGAGGAGGGATGGAGAGAGAGTCTTTGTTTGGAAGGGGAATCCCCTTTCATAAAATCCACTGGTAGCTGCTTTTCAGGAGTTTTCCCCCTCTTTTCCTTTTTAAAGTAGGACCTGGCTGGCTTTCTCTAAAAAATAAAATCTCTCTAATGTGGTCTGATGTTAGCGTTTTCTTAACTGTTTTCTACAAGGGTTTACTAAATTATCATCAACAATATCAATAACATGGTTACCAGTTCCTTATCATGATGATTCTTTTCAAAAAACTTTCTTAGGACCCATGTTTTTTATCTAAAAACAGTACAAAAAGCACAAAAACAAAGAAAATTATAGCAAAATGCTTACACAATGCAAAAGATTTAAACAACACATACTAACAACACCAACTAACGCCAAGTCACCAAAACATGAATTGCTTTTGTTTACAAAAATCACGTGCGTCTGGTCAGATTCTGATGTTTTGTTCAAGCTCCAATGCAAAATTTTCTCGATATTTTGTGTCACAATCCAATTATGTCGAGTACTGGGGTTCTACTGTCCTAGAACCCAAAGAAGGCTGCCGGCCCTGCACATCTTTATCTAATCCCAATATGTATCTGACCTTCATCACTGTGCAATGAAAAGAGGCAGGAGTCATTTCTGTTTCAGATCCAGAAGATGTACTATGTCTTTCCTGAGATCTATGTTGAGGTTTTCCCAGCTGTGGCATGTGTTTGTATAATGTTTGGACCCTTGAAGTGGTCTCCACAGGAAAGCTGTGTTCTGGGTCACAACCTTAGCTTTGAATGACTTCTGCATTAAAATGCAATGAAACTGGAGAACTCTATTTGCTTCTCTTCGAATGTCAACATCTGTTGTGACTGTTGGTAATCGCCATTGTGCTAGCTAGGAGGTGTCCTGGGTGAATCTTGCAACAATTACCCTTTCTTCCTTAAGTCTCTAAGAGGTAGTCTCTCTGTCACTTCAAGATTTCCTGATGCATCTAGACAGTAAAAATAAGTATGGATTGAGTTGGCATAATTTTTTTAAACATGTGTCATGCAATTGTGCTATATCCGGAAATACTAGATGCAGGGTGAATGGAAGAGAGTCTGAGGCTAATTTTAGACACTTCACCAGAGTCTCAAGATAATGTAGGGAAGAAGTGGTGACACAGTAGAAGTCAGATTACATAAAGATCGGCACAGTCACATGCAGAGATACTGGTTTAGGCCTTTGGCATGACCTGTTTGCACAGGTTTGGAAGAAATGAAGACAAGCTTGTGAAGGATGACCTTCTCAGATGTGGGAAGTAATCTGATATAGAGTGTGGAGGAGCAGTTATGCCTATCTAAGTATACACTTTCTTTATTCTAAAAGGATGTACTATGCTATCTCCCCCGCCCCTCCAATACCCAATTGATGGAAAATGCTTTGTATGTTATGACTTTGGCACTTGAAACATCAACAAGGACATCCAGATTGCTCAGAGAACTACCTCCGATCACTTTATCTCCAGGGTTGCCTATTTGAATTTTGTACTTGATCCTAACATGGTAGTCTCAGAAACTTTAACACAAGCCATTGAAGGATGCATGTCAGAAAGTGCATTTGAGGAAGTGTGGGTTTGCAATGTTCTATATGACACAAACATTTTATACATAAAATGTAATTGTTCCTAATTGGATCCTGAGGTTGCTGACAGGTAAGCCCTGGACTGCTAAGTTCAAGGCTGTCTGTTCCAACCCACCTGCTGTTCTACAGGAGCAAGATATGCTGTGTACTGCAGTAAATATTTACAAAACCATGGAAACCCTACATAGAGATGCTATAAGTGGGAATAAACTCAGTGGATATGGATACATAAAAATACTGACTATATCATAGTGTAGTAGCCTTACTATTTTTGTTTTGTTTACTAGGTTTTAAAAATCCATCATATCCTTTTTTTTAAACAAGGCATGAAAAGCCATGTTTTGTTTATTTATTTTTAAAGATCATTTTATTGGGGGCTCGTACAACTCTTATCACAATTCATCCATTGTGTCAACCACATTTGTACATTAGTTGGCATCATCATGCCCAAAATATTTGCTTTCTACTTGAGCCGTTGGTATCAGCTCCTCATTCCCCTCTGCCACCCCCCCCCATGAATCCTTGATAATTTATAAATTATTATTTTCTTATGTCTTACACTGTCTGACATCTCCCTTCACCCACTTTTCTGTTGTCCATCTCCCAGGGAGGGGTTATATGTAGATCCTTGTAATTGGTTTCCCCTTTCTACCCCACCTTCCCTCCACCCTCCTGGTATCGCCACTCTCACCACTGGTCCTGAAGGGATCATACGTCCTAGATTTCCTGTATTTCCAGTTCCTATCTGTACCAGTGTATATCCTTTGGTGTAGCCGGATTTGTAAGGTAGAATTGGGATCATGATAGTGGGGGGAAGGAAGCATTAAAGAACTAGAGGAAAGTTGCATGTTTCATCATTGCTATACTGCACCCCAACTGGCTCATCTCTTCCCTGCAGCCCTTCTGTAAAGGGATATCCAGTTGCCTACAGATGGGCTTTGCATCCCCAATCCATACTCCCCCTCATTCACAATGGTATGATTTTTTTGTTCTTTGATTCTTGATACCTGATCCCTTCAACACCTCGTGATCACACAGGCTGGTGTGCTTCTTCCATGTGGGCTTTGTTGCTTCTGAGTTAGATGGCCGCTTGTTTACCTTCAAGCCTTTAAGACCCCAGACACTGTATCTTTTGCTAGGCGGGCACCATCAGCTTTCTTCACCACATTTGCTTATGTACCCGCTTCGTCTTCAGCGATCATGTCGGGAAGGTGAGCATCATGGAATGTCAGTTTAATAGAGCAAAGTGTTCTAATGCATCACTATCTTAATGAAAATTATTTCAATGCATCTTATCAAACTCTAGGCCTGTTCAATGGATGTACTTCAACACTTTGGAAAGAGAATTATGCTATTCTTTTAAGTGTAAAAATATATTTTAATTACTATAGATTCATATAGATATTAAATATAAAAACAAACATATAATTTGCCGAAACCACTTTATTTAGGATAAGGAAAGGAAATTGAGGTCAAGGTACCAAGGGTTTTACAGATTTTTCATGGAGATTATGAACACTGTTTTTCTCAGCGGCAGCAACGTATTCTGCGAAAACTATTATGGCTGCAAATCCCACGACGATGTTCTCCAAAGGCACACCTTGATCTTCTGCAATAGCAGATACTTCTCTTCATTAGACCTGGATAAATAAAATTAAAAAATCGGGTATATTGAGTCGTGGGTCCTGGTGTGTAGTAATCAGAGGATACTGAAGAAGTTACATGCTAGCTTGAGTGGGTTTGTCATGTCCACTAAATACTGGCCAACTTTGATAGGGTGTAACTATAAATAGCTAATTTTGGTCACACAGTATTAGAGACATTCTCTGATATTATATGTGACCATGCCAGACTCAGGGTAAACACAACCTTTAGTGTCCAGAGGGCAAGGAGGAAGGAAGGAGAGCCAGAATATTAGAAACATTGTAAGAAGCCATGTGTCTACTGACAATAGACATAACTACCTTAGTACAAAAGTCAGAATTTACATATTTGTCATAAATCAAAATATACATTATTGGCTATGTTTTCGTCATACAGGTCACATTTTCCCAATCTCAGTCTATTATTTACTTGCTATGCCCATGCCTTAATTGTATGTCTCAAACCCCTCATTCCACCTCATGTACGCACTGCCTTTTCATGCACAGCTTATAGGCATGACAAATTCCTGTCATAGGACTGCGGTCACTTTCCTAGGTGCAGCTGCTGAGTGGATACTGAAAGTACCCTTGGAGAGTCTCTAACTCCAATGCACCTACTTTCTAATAATTACAAGGCAAGTTTGAGGGACTAATCAAGCTAGACCCCCCAGTAGCACATTGATCTCACTTGAATCATCTAGGGCCGAGAGTTTGTCTTCATCAAAGGAGACTGCCACGTCCTGGTCCTCCGCTCCAGGCTCTTCCTGGTCCGTAACCTCATCATTGGTTTCTCTGAGTGGCTCAGTCTGGGCTTGGAGGGCCAGTAGGAGGATGGCAGCAAGAAGAGCAAGAGTCCTCATGGCTGTCAGTCACCTGGAGATCAGTGTCCCGTATGAAGAAGCAGGAACCTGAGTGTGTTGTTGAGGGCAAGGAACCAACGAATATTTATATACCTGTTAGGAGAACAATCATCAATGCATAGTCCCGGTAGAGAGAGAGTGTGTCCTTGTTCTGACATGGTGTTTGTAGGTTTCCTGCCGCCATCAAAGTCTCTTTGATGTTACTTTGTTCTAGCAGCTTTAGGTGCAACGAATATCTGTATGTGTAGTATCTCTTGACAATGATAAGGACGTGATGTAATTTACTTCCCATCTGCTTGAATATTTACCCCTTAATATTCAAAAAGAAGAGGACTGATGATTTTATATGATGATTTGAGGGACAAGACACTTTTTATTTTCTGAGAGTGGACTTTCCTGGACCTGTAGACTCGAGGTGAGACTTGGACCACAATGAAGAGGAGTGTGAATTTACTAGAGGTCTCAAGCTCATTAATTTTGCCATGAAGAAGGCTTTCAAGATGGTTGGGGAAGCAGGCCCCTGCTAGGTCTGGTGTGAGAAGACAATGGCACAATGAGGCTTCTGGTAAACTGCACTTCAGATTCATGGCTGGTGGGATCCTAGACTGGGCACTGCTCTACTAAAAACAAAAGATAGACACACATATGGCAGTTTACTTGCATCTACACTCTGAGAGTTATCAAACTGATAACTTTCAGTTTACATCTTCATTGTAAACTGAAATTCAGTTTACACAACTTCATTCTACATCTGAATTTTTCAATAAAAGCTAATTCATGCACACAGAATAAAATTCAAAAGTTAGAAACAGTCATGAGTAAAAATCATGACCAGTTTCTTCTATGCTAATGCCCAGCCCTTGACCTTTGCACCAGACAAGCACCACAATCCACACTTATCCTCATTATTTTGTGGTGCCTTGTTTGATTCATCTAGTGATAAATCTTAGATATCTTTGTATGTCAATATATGAAGGGTTGCCAAAGTTTTTAAGTGTTACCATATTTTAATAGTTTTATATGCATCAACTAATTCTGTACTTTAAAAATTTCATTTAAAAGTAAATATCATTAATACAATCTTATTATTTTTAAACTTTTACATGTAGAAGAATAATGGAAATATATTTTCTCATATATTGCTTTGCCTGTAAGTGATTATATATTTGAGTAAAATTGCTTGGAGAACATGAAATGGTTCAAAGAACATATCACGTACATTGTATCGCTATGTATGCACTGCCCTCTACAGAGACTGTACGTCAATAGTCATAACAATCAATTCTTGTACACAGAAAGTGTTGTGGAAGTTCCTGTTTTTAACCAGTTTCCATAATGCCTTCTGCCTGCTTGTGCTCAGGGCAGCAATACCCTACAGTCTCTGACATACTACTCATCATGGCCAGTCAACCAAGGGCTCAGATGACCTAAATGCCATCCCAAGGGGAATATAATTTTTAAATAATAATACAAATTGTTGTTGCATTATTATTGCCCTATAATTTTCTTTTTGTTTTTGCTTGGATCATATAAGAAAATGGATTCAGAGCCATGTATTTTGAACCTTTCTTGTGTTTTTGATGGAAACCAATCTGATACATGTGCTATGAAGGTTTTTTTTAACTTTTCCAGCTAAAACTGGGAACAAACGTGGTATCCCATTGTAGTTATTGTAGTGTAGTCTTATAAAATGAAGTTTGACATGCTTTAATGTCTAAGGAGCATTTGCATTTACTACTTCAGATGTTTTCTTTCATTTTTCTGCCCCTTTGCTGAAAGGGCATTGCTGTTTTTAAACTGATATGCAGTAGCTTTTTATAAATTTCAAAATTTTTTTGTCATATGTATTTCAAATATTTTTCAGGTTTGGTAATTCCTCGTTCTAGGTTTTTAATGCAAAAACCTTTGGTATTTTTACTTTTAAACTGTTTTTCGTTATTTCTGGCTTTTATTTCTTTCCTACTTACATGTGTAAAGACTAGTTAGTATCCCTTATGTTGTTCCTTTCAGGCATGCATGCGGCTCTTGTCTGTTTCCTTTGCAGTGAGGCAGAGCTTTCCGTCCCACCTGCTCTGGCTTCTCAGAGGAGGCTATATTTTCTCCATGACCTAGAAATTCCACCCTGTAAAGAATACCTGGCTACAGAAACATGATTCTGATTTATTCTTAAAAGGCTGATACTTCAATTCTAGGAATAACTACCTACTTATGTAAAAAATACAGATTCATTACAACAGATATATGCCTTAGAAAGAGTTGCACTATGTATATAAAATACTCAGAAAAAAATGTGGAAAAGGGAGGGTATTCCAAGTTCCCATTATTTTGACATATAAAGATGTCCACAAACAGATGTCCATCACATAGATAGGAAATATAGCTTGTGGTTTGAGCTTCCAGATCAGAGAAACTACATAAAAACAGCCAACACTAAGGAAACAGTGTGTAGGTTATTTTCCATGTCAGCTTCTCCTCTATATCTCAATCTTTGTGCCACAATACCTGCATAGAAACATTGGCAATGTAAACACAGAATACATTCCTAATGAATGGCTCATTATCTCTGAGCAAATTATACTCACTTAACTTGTACACACACCAAGGATTTCTAGTTTTCCAGGGATATTCAGTCCCCTGTGTGCTACATGAGATGCTGAACACCAGAATGGGTCTCTGTTTGGTGACGCCTTCTTTCTCCCAAAGCCATGCACCCTGCCTTCTTGAGGAGCCTGTCCTGTTGACCACTGTTTGGTTTGAACAGTCAGTTGATGCACAGCTTTGTAAGAACTCAGTCACCATTTTCTGAGAATAAGAATGAGAGCCGTGAGAACTGAGGATTGTGGTGTCTGTTATTCCTTGAACAGAAAAAAGAAAAGCAATAAAAAATTATGGCCAAGTGTTTTCACTTAAAATCCCAAGGGAAAGATTCTAGTTCTCTGTCTCTCTCTTATGATATATACACGGGGGTACTCCCCCCCAAAACTGGATACTTTTTTCAAAGCTATGTATTTAAATATTTTTTACAAAATAATCTTATCACCTTCAAAGCACTATCCATTACCCTTAATATGTTTGACAAACCTGTGATTCCATTTTTGGAAGCATTTTTCAAACTCATCTGTTTGGATGGCTGACAGCAGGTCCCTCATTTTTTTCTTCACCTCTTTTATATCATCAAATCATTGTCCTTTCATGTCCCTCTGCATTTGCAGAAACAAGAAGAAGTAGCATGGAGCAAGGTCAGATGAGTAAGGTGCATGGGGCAAGAAAGGCATGCTTTCTGAAAAACAAAACAAAACCCCAAACCAAAAACAACAACAACAACTGTTGCACTGAGATGACTTCATGAGCAGGTGTATTGTCGGGTGGTAAAACCAGTCACCGTCTGCTACCAATGAGGCTTATTTTGTGGAACACTCTTAAGCAATCTTTTCAGAACCTCTAGTAAAAGCTTGATTAACAGTCTGACCTGGTGGAACAAACTCTAAATGCACCACAAGTCATCATTTTCATCCATTTGGGAAATTGACAGATGTCCAGTACAAGGTTTGTCGTTAATTGACATTTTACCTTTTTTGAAATAAAACCACTTGCACATTTGTGTCTTTCCATAGCACTGTCCTTGTAAGCTGTGATCAACATCACAAAAGTATCTGTGGCATTTTTCCAAGCAGGAAACAAAATTTCACAGCTGCACACTGTCCTCTTAATTTGGCCAATACAAAAAACGAAGTCTGCACAAAACGGCTTTTAAGAAAAATTCACTGTGACCAGAGAGAACCTTCCCAGGTGATGCCACTGGTTGCACTAACTCTGAGTGATTTGCTTGATGTTCCCCTAGCAGGAAATATGAGTAATATGAAAGCTCATCCCAGTGGAGCCTTTTACATTTTGAGGGTGGTTATCCTATATATGTATGTATGTGTGGATATATATATATGGGTGGTTATCCTATAGATGTATGTATGTGTGTGTGTGTGTGTGTGTGTATATATGTATATATATATCACCCAACTGTAACATCAATTTTTAAAACAGGTTTAATTCACTTTCCTGCTGACAAGCCACGTGGAGCCATGTGTGAGTCTGGAGAGGAAATTATGGACTAGCATGGGACTTAATCTGTACAAATCAACATGTATTGTGATCTGAAGCCAGCTATACTTGTATAACTATCTCTTCTCAACTGTGTGTTAAATTCTATACCATTGGCTAAATTAATGACACTGTCAATAGAATTACCTTATGCCTCAGGGAGGGGGTGGGGCGATGATTTATAATGGTCTCTATTATAAAATCATGATGATGTCTCTAAAGTGAACCAGAGACATACATAAACCACAGATCTAAGAATTAAGTGTTCCCTGGACATTCTGCAACTGAAAGGTGCAGCTCAGTCAGCAAAAGTCTCGGAACCGGCAGCCCAGAAGAAGCAGGAGCGGCCCCGGGCCAGCACCACCTGAGCCGCAGCCTGAGGCCATCCGATGCAGGCAAGGAGACACGTGGTGAGAGTTGTGGAGCCGCACCAACAGCAGATGGGTGACGGAGAGCCCCGAGCTCACCCCTCAGAAGAGCAGCCTGGTCCTTCCCGAAGGAAGCGGCAACCCAGTATGTCTGAGGCCATGCCACTGTACACGCTCTGTAAGGAGGACTTAGAGAGGATGGACAAAGAAGTGGATGACATCCTTGGATGGGTTAATATGGGACTTATGGATGTGAGCTGGACTGGGCTGGGATGTTTTCTTGATATACAATTACTCTTTGATATAAAGCTCTTATAAAAAAACACACAAAAAACAGGTTTAGTTTGCAAGAATTCAAAAAGTTTAAGAGAGTATATGGTTAAGTGTATAGCTTTTAGCATGAGCTCTGTTGCTTAATCATTTTTGACTTTGGTTAAAGTACTAAACCTCTCAAAGTTCATTTTCCTAGCAGCATAAAAATGACAATATTTACTTTTTCCCCCAAAACCATTTTGTTGGGAATTAATACAGATATCA